ATTCGGAGATACGACACGAGAATAGATTGCAAATCAATCAAATGTAATACGCCATTTGAGTACTCGTGTGGAAGAACTGAAGAGGAAAGATAGGGTCAACTAAGAATGACCGATCGGATCTAAAAAGGAGCATGTCATGGCTATGCGAATAATGACAAAAGAGAGGGATTTCTTAAGAAAAGAAGTAGGCGAGTGGGGAAGCGGGACTATGGAATACCATTTACAAGCTTAGAAAGTTAAGAATTATGCCTTGGAAATGCGACACACTATAGGGCTTCTAGCCAATGGTATATGTCCAGAAGAGGGAAGGGTTCGACTCTTTTATGAGAGGCTTTAAAGGCTCATAAATGGTATGATTTGCTATGAAGGCTTGAGGCTATAGTCCAAACCAAAAAGGGGGCTGGATTGAGTTTAGTCCAGCCCAAACCCTTTCATCTAACCAAAAAAAAAAGAAAGAAAGCAAAAAGGGGCTAGATCGAGTGTTTTTCAGCCTATGCGTTACCAAAATAAAAAGAAAATGAGAAGGTTGGATGTTCAACCCTCTCCCAAAAAAAAAAAAAAAAAAAGAGAGAGAGGAGAAAGGAAATAAAGAATGAAGGCTGGAATCGAGTCCAACCTCTTCCAAAAATAAAAAAGAACAAAAATAAAAAAATAAAAATAAAAATGGGTATTGTTAGAATTATTTTAGGAGCATATATATATATATATATATATATATATATATATATATATATATATATATATATATATATATATATGTTTTCTTTTAACCTAATTATTTTCTCTTTCTCGTTGCATTTGCTCGCATTAATTTAGAATTGATGTCTTATTTTTTATATATATTATTAGATAAAAAAAAACTAATATGTTTGGTGAAGTTTCTTATCCAATAGGGATCGATGTCACAAAAAATATATTTAACATTTTTGACGAAGTCTCCTATCCGATAGGGACCGACATCACCAAAAATCAATATTTAATCGGGATATCCTTTGACATGTCGGTTATGTTGAGGCTTTTAGTGGATCCGATGTTTGAACCGATGTGTCGCCCGATGAAGGGGATCGATGATCGTTTTAATACGATGGCATGCCCAAACTAAAAAATTTTAATTTGACTTTGAAAAAATAAGAGTTTAAAATTAGAAAATAGTTTGACATGGATTTTTAGGAGATGAATTTATAACTAAATTAGACGTAGTACCTTTCTTCGAAAAGGGCACTTTTGGGTGATTAAATATCTTTCCAAAAGTGTAACCAAATTCTTGTCATAGAATCTCCGAATCGAGTGCTTACTTTTAGATTTCTAGTTCCTTAAATACTAGGTGGCGACTCCAAAACTCGTAAATAATTTTTATAAATAATTAACCTTAGAATTTAATTTTGGGGAGTCTCGTCCGAAGTCAGGTAGCGACATTCTTAAACTCAAATCTAATCGCTTAAACATGGATGACATGACACAGTCTTATTGGTCAAGGACCATCTTTATTTACAATAAATACCAACCTCACAAAATTATGAAGGGATTCTAGCTTTTTTTATTTTTAGAAAAAACTTCTTAATTATTTCTCTCAAATCTCTCTTACTCACACACCCAATATCATCAAAAGATTTATCTGTTTGGACTTTGACCATCCCAAATGCCCTCCATTCTAATTTTTGTCTTACTTTACATCTTTTTAGCAATGTCTCGTTTTTCCTCATATGTCTCTTGCCACTTGCATTCATACTAATTGGTTTGTTGATCATTACTTTTAGAAGTTACAAATACCAACTTTCTACATTTCGATTAGTCTATTGACAAAATTGTTTGACCATTTTTCAAAAACACAATAATAATATAGTTAAAAAAACATATGAATGATAATTAAGTTCCGCAATATATGATTATTAATAACATATCTACAATTAGTTCAATATAGTGATTGTTATTGTCTCCACTTAGTTTTGTTTATCCAACCATCCCACGAATCTTGAAGATATGTAGTTGCATGCCAATTAATAAGTTGTTTAAATATTGACGAACTTGGTTCCATAACAAAGAAATATATATATATATATTACCTTTTATAAATTAATACTTTCAAAAATTAAATTTTTTTGGGAAAAGTCACTAATGCAATTAAAAAAAAAATACAAACAACAAGGTACAAATATTTTCATTTTTGCAATAAAATGGAGTCAACAAAAAAAAAAAAAGAAAGAGCAACCTTATTCTCACAAACAAAATAGAAATAACTCCAACACTTAAGAAATACCTACAACTTCATAGTCCATGCATTTAAATTGAGCATCATATGCTACTTGATAATCATGTATTAAAGTTGATATGATTTTTATTTTTATTTTTATATATTATTCCCATTTTCTAAATTTAATTAAATCATTTTTCCTTTAATATGATTATCGGTTACTACGTATGATTCATTTTAAATAGATAGAACTAGTTATATACACGCGCTATGCTCGTACTCGGACAATCATTATATACGCAAGGTTAACGATTCGTATGGTGTGATGCGAGTATAAGTTTTATTTTTAAAGATTAATGTAAATCGAATCTATATATTAAGTGAACTTATTTGATTTATATATATTTATTAACAAAATAATTTATAATATTAGTATAAAAATTTGTATTTGAATAATTAAGAGGTTCTTTCAAAACATTAATTAAATTATTTTATTTAAAAATAAGAATTTTAGAATATGAAAAAAATAAATAACAAATAATTGATACTATGTGTGTAGATATAATTAATTTCTAAGAAAACTACTATATATGTATCGTAGTTAGCAAATTCGAGTATATAGAATAAATAAATAAAATATACAAAAAACTCACTGAAATCGCATACAATATATTGAAATGAATAGATTTAAATAAAAACTATTGTAAAATTAGTTTCAATAAATTTTGATTATATATATATATATATATATATATATATATATATATATATATATATCAAATAAAGCATGTGAATTTTTTAACTAATTATTGATTTTTTTAAAAACAATTGAGTCAAATTATCTAAAATACACTATTGGACTCTCTCTCTCTCTCTCTCTCTCTCTCACACACACACACACACACACACACACACACACACATTAGAATTTATACATGCAATTACGTTACTTCTCTTTTTAAAATATTAAAAATAATCAATCATATAAATTATAATAATATACTTTAAAAAATAAAACAATCACATTCTTAAATTTTATTTCAAAATTCATATAAAAAAATCAAATTTATTAACAAATAAAATTATATAAAAAATAAAAAAATTAACTTAATGAGAATTTTAATAAGAAACAAACAATTGAAGAAATAAATTTTAAATAATAAAAATAATATAATCCAATATATATATGTTCAAACTAAAATCTTAAAAAAATATCATATATATTCTATTATCATCAAATTGTATGTAAAACTTAAAAAAAAAAATTAATGATTTTTCATATATATATATATATTTTTTCATCTAATTTCATGATAAAAAAATAAAAAAATAAATTATTGAAAAAAAGAAAAGAAAAAGAAAAACAGGATCGCTTATGCAGGCTCGTGAGTCGAGCTAGCCTCGTCCGAGCCTCTTGTCGAGCCCAACCGAGCTTGTTTCTCCGGGACAACACAACCCTTTTTAAAAAATGTTACAATAAATGAATAGTAAAAACTCTAGATCTTTTTCTTATTTATCGGCCAATAAATTACTTTTTTCAAGGTCTTTTCTCTCTCATCTCTCTCTTCACAATCTCTAATTTTTTTCCCTCCTCATTTTCATAATTGCATTTTTGAAGTGAAATCCCGGTCTCATTGGGAAGCTTTTGAAAACAAGAAAGCTTTTTATTTTATTTTTTTCTTAATCTATGTTTTTCTCAATATAAAGAATGGATGCTCATTTTTTTCTTAAAAATAATTAAATAATTTAGTTGGTTTTATTATGTGATAATCCATGTTATTTTTCTTATTTTTAATATGAATCCAAACTATATAACAAATGGATTGAATTGGGAATATACCTAACCCATCATAAGACTTTGAACCAATCAAAGATGAACACGAATATTCTAGCAAGACTAATGTCTATGTCTTGTCTTTATAATGTATTAGAAAGATTAGATTGATGGGTTCAGAGTAGAGTCTCTTAAAAAAAAATGTAATTGCTATTTTTTTTTTTATCTTTACTAGCAAATTAAAACAAGTTAGTAAAAAAAAAAATCAAGTTTTTTCAAGTCAAATCTCTCTATCTAAACATGAATAATATGGTATAATTCTAACCGTTAATGACCATTCTCATTTCAATATAAATATCAACATCACAAAAATTTCAAAGAGATTTTCCAACTTTTTTATTTTTGCCAGACTTTTTACCATTTGCTCACTTTGTCAAACCTTTTTATCACTCACCCCCTCTCTCTCTCTCTCTCTCTCTCTCTATATATATATATATATATATGTTCACCATAATTTCTCATTTTAGGAAAGAAGGAAGAAAGACATCATTCGTGCTGCAGTTAGAAATGGACCCAGCATGTGATATCTTTTCAATGGAGTTCAGGGACCTAAGAATAAAAGCAAGTATGTTGGGGAGGTCAATGTTGAAGAAGTACTGGATTATCCCAGATTAAAAACAGTTGACGTTGGCAGCCATGACGAAGGAACGGCTTCAAAATAAGAGTACAGTTTGCAGAACAAAGAGCTTTACGTTTGTTATTTTACTTGATAAATTAAGGAAATAAGGAAATAATTGATGTGCATTAATCAAATGCTACTATATGTTCTAGTTGACAAATTCCCGAAATTAAACCTCTTTATTAGGTCAATGAAAGATACAAGAATTCATACGAACAGTACATTTACTTCGTCTCCTGTTGTCAAACAGCAGCACAAAGTCCAATCAATTAAGAGCACGACTCCAATAACAGGGAAAAAATAGAACACCCGTAAAAGTGGTAAAAAATATACGAAAGAAAGAAAGCAATGCAATGCTATAAGCATTTCTGTTGGAAAGCCTCCTCAGGGCTATTTCCATTAATTTCTGAGTGGTGAGGGAAATCGTATGGCATATCTTCAGCTGAGAGCCATGCTTCACTGAACACTCTTACTACTTCCTCGTGGACCACTGCATTACCTTCTGGGGTTAGATGCAAACCATCACTGCAATTAACATGCTGGTTAGTCCTTTACAGGCTCCTTAAGTACAAATTAAAGTATTAGAGTGATAAAGAATAATATTAATACAAAAGGCCGACAAGTACTTGCGACTAAATCAAAATTTTCATGACCGGGTACCATCTATTTCATTAAAAATCCTTATTTTGACCTCAACTCATTATACCTTTTCTATCTCCTTTCAATTCACAAGAATAAAAGTCAGAATGATATGGCAGTGAATATAAATATGCAAGAAGCTTCTTGTGTGAAGGAATATGAATGGAAGCACATTTTCAAATATCCATAAATTTCAGGAAATAGGAGCTTTAAAATGTTACAAACCTAAGAAATTTTTTCTGCCAACCCTCTGTTTCCTGCATCTTGGACCATAGATCAATGGTGTGGATGCCTAGGTCTTTGGCTAACTCAACACATTGCCTTGCATAAACTCCTGCCATTTCATTTGTCCTTTCTGGCAATTTCATAGCTCTGTCACCATATAAGGATCTGCCCAACACATTTGGTAGGTTTACTTCCAATATATTTCACAATGCTAATTTAGAAGATGACACAACTCATGGCTCACACAAATCCCCATCTCCAAATTCTACAAGGAATAAAACTCTCAAACAAAGAACAAGCTAGCTTATTTATATCAACAACCCTCTTCACAAGCATGTGTCTGCACCTCTATGCAGCCTATGTGTGCATGTGGAATGTCAATATCAGAAAACAGAAAAGGAAAGGATAATACTTGGCATAATCTTTACGCCCTTCCTCATCAATTGGTGGTGGAGTAATAAGAACAACTAACATGGCAGGAGAGCACTCCTGTGATCAAATTCCACAGACATAATGAGAACCAGGTCGGGTATGATGCCTGCTAATATTGAATGAAGTAGTGCATGCTCAATTGTACATGTAGTTTGTTACTCCAGAAGAACTAGGGATTGGAAACAGGAAAAAAGCTGTTGAGCAGAAACAACCAATATAACCATGGCAAGAAATTGCAATACAAGTGAAACATAAAAATTAACAATAAAAAACCAGTCAGCACTAGATATTATTTAACTAACTTTCAGCAACAGCTTCGTTCTAGTGAGAAAAAGAGCAAACTGTGACACTACAACTGGGGATCTAAATACTAATGTATTTAATTAAAACTCATCCTGTACTCTGTTCAACTAGAACTGCTCCTTGAATTCAAAATTGAAGAGTTAGTGAAATTAATATGTCAGTTTCTTTTTCACTTTTTACAAAAGTTAATATGCCAAAATTTTGATAGGAAACTGTCCAAACTACAAACTGAATAGTTGTCAAAACTATGAGCATGGGAGTTGGCAGCTGCTCCCATCAAGGTGTCAGCAACAAAGTGGGGGCTAATGATGTAATAGCAGCAAGTTATTAGACACATGGGTAATGGAGGGAATTCAATGGCAAGAAGATACCAGAGGTTGGTAGGTATGAGAATGATGTGAGCTTTGGGACTGAATAGAGCAGCACTAGAGGAACATTGGATTTGGCAATGGTGGGATGGGTTGCAGTAAGACGAGGTGGTGGCGGCGGCGGCATGGTGTTGTTAAGGGTGAATGCAGTAAGCTTTAAGAGGTCATGAATGACAAGGTCTTGATGGGATGCTGAAGCCAGTAGTGAAGGTAGTGCTATCCTCTTGCAGATCCAAAGTTATTTTATTTGCAAGCGACCATCATGAATATGTAAAAGACTGCAAATATGGTATTTACTAAGTGCAGAAATACCTGTAAGGCTCTGATAGAACGGTAGAAGTGGCAAAGATGATATGGCAGTTCTAGAAGTAAGATTGAGCTCATGCTAGTCAATGAAGATAAAGATAGTAACTCAATTACAGGTTGTGCATTCAGTCTTTTTGAAAGGTCCGAATAATCTTTATTAGGAGCCACAAATAGGTTACCGAGATCACAATCCTCAGTAAGAGGAAATGAACATGACTTTTCAGCAGTTAATACCAAACATTGCTGAAATCTGTTGATATAAATAATCTCTCAAAACACTTAACTAATCTCCGCCATAGCAGTCCTATATTGGGATTCGCTTGTATTGTGTACATGTATTCTAATTTAAACTCATTGCTGGTTCAGTACTTTCAACTGCATCTTCGATTTTGCGTTGGCCCAACAAAAATGGCAGAGTTGAATCACTAAGATTTGGAAAAAAAGAAAGAAAAAAGATGACCTTCAAATAAATTAAAAACAAAAACGTAAACAGATTTGACAAATGATCATAGCCAACCAATAAAACTAACCAAAATAGCTGGGAAAAAAATAATAAAGTAGAATAAAAGAGAAGACCTTCAAATGCAGAACCATTTTTTTGAGATTATTCTTGTATTCTTCAACAGGAACATGTTGCCTTTCACTGGTTCTCCCCAAAAGAGCTGCATCATTAGCTCCAAAGAATATTGTAGTAGCAGCTGGATGCTTTGTTGAATCCTATCAATACAAACACCAATACATCAAAATTCCCACAACACAAAATAATAAATATATAAATAAAGTTGTCTGCTCACAGGAGGGAAAATGTGGCTTAACAAGAACAAAGCCCATCTGGTATTGTAACCACCATAGCCACGGACTAACACATCAGCCTATAATATAATACAAAATGAATCACGATTATTAGTGGATTATAAATCAACAAAATTTAAAGACAGAGAAGTTGTAATTGAGGTTAATAACGTTGTACCTTGCGAGAGTAAGAGTTAGCAAGAGAAGAACCCCAACCACCTGATCTAAAAGATTGCTCTGTTATTGAATCTCCAAATAACACTATGTGTGGCCTCATTCTATTGTTGTCTGCTTTTGGACACAAGAGTGTGAAGTTGAACGGGAATGATTTGAGTTTGACAGACAACACAAGGTGGTGATTCTGTTGCCTGATTAGTTGTGCTTCAACGCAGCGTTTTAATCTGTCGTGTAACAAAAGCAAGTAATTTCGATTTTTTTAAAAAAATTCTATTTTCTATTCTCAGTTTCCCACTCCACATTTTCATGGAGAGGCCAAATTCCCTCCTAAACATTTTTTCTTAATTTTCTTAATATCAAATAATGTAAAGAGCTCCAACTCAATATACAACAATTGAAAAGTGATTTAAATTTTAAAATTCATAATGCAATTTTTTTTTTTTTTGAATCGTTAATCTCTTATGTTTGATTTTTTTAATGTCTAAAATAAATAATATAATTACCTTATAATTTTTATTTTTTTCTATGTTTCTCATAATATATACTATATTAAATATATTTGATAAAGCATCATTGTCATTTTAAAATATTTTTTATATGAAAATATTTATGTTTAAATTATATAAAGATATTAATTTATAAATAAGAGATACATGGATCTATGACAAAAATTACTCTATATATTTTTATAAGACCCATAAATTTTTTTGGGCATGGTTTTAAAGCTCTAAATTACTCTATCTGCTTAGCCTTCATGATGATGCAAGCAGCGACGCTAATATGCATTTTACGATTTTTTTCTTCATTTCTTTTATATAATTTAATATATATTGTAATTCTTAATTGTTTTTTAATCAGAAGAGTAATGGAATTAAAATATCAAAGAATTACAAAAACACGAGGGTCTAATGACAAATACTGCTAGACAAACCAATTTTCAGGTACTATTTACATAAGTACGCAAAATGAAGACTTAACACTCCAAAACAAAAAAGAAGAAGATATTCCAGCAACCACGGAAAAGAGATTTATGAGATTATGCTCCCTTGTTGATGAGTTGATGAGTCTTGGTTGACTGTCTAGTAAAATTAAGATACCTGCCTCACATTGACGGTGATGAAAGCATGAAGATCGTGACATCATTGAAGATTCTTTATTAAATATTTTGTTTTCACATTATAGTAAAGAAGTGCATCGTCTTCCTCTTTTGCAGTTTATATGTGCTTCAGACTATATTGTGTGAAATCTTTGGTGAGTCATTTGACATTCTCTTAAGTTTTATAGGAAATTTTTTTTTGATAATATTATAATTGAAAAGTAGTTTGTTTGTTTTTATATAGTATAACCAAGACTAATAAACTCCCATTAACCTTTAGTATACATAAGGTTCATCTTTGTTTTTATGAAAAAGTCAAACCCTTTGATTATTTCATCAAAATATTAGTCTAATTCCTAGAAGCATGCTCAAGTCCATAAATGGATCTTTATAATTTATAAATCTTATTTATATGTTCTTTGATGACATAACCATTAGAGTGTGTCCTCTACATATCTTTATTCATTTTGCCATTTCTAAAAGTTAATGTCTAACATTATCACTTCATAGGTATTATCTTCATTATACTCTTTAGGGTACACATCACCATGTGTTAAGACAAGAATATCATATCTTTTTACTCTTGATGAACTTGTTTTAGACTTATTAAGTTTTTGTGCATATGTTTGTGAGGTAGTTACAACATTTTGCAACCTTTCTACTTAGGGTTCCACTAGTATAGTATTAATTTGTGAGTCTACTCAAATCTCATTAAGTTCAACTTTCCTCTCACTTTGTTCTAGTAGTAGAAAAATTAAAAGCCATTTGTTTCCTTTGGATATTTCATAAATTTGCACTTAGTTGATTTGGGCTCTAACTTGTCTTCGTCTAAACATTTGACATATGCTTTACGACCTCAAATCTTAAAAAAAAAAAAAATTTACTTTCTTTTCTTTTCATATCTCATATGAAGTCCGATGAATAAATTTTGTTGGAACCCTACTCAAAATAAGATTGCGGTAAGGAGTGCATATCTCACAAGAAAATTAGGATATCGGCTTGACTGATCATGGATCGGACCATGCCTAACGGCGTCATATTTCTCCTTTCGGACATAACATTCAATAATGGTGCTTCAGTGGAGTCTATTGATTGAAAATCTCATTTTCTTCTAAGTGATCTAATAATTCATTATTTAAGTATTCATTGCCTCGATCCGATCGAAATGCCTTAATACTCTTACTAGTTCATTTCTTGACTTTAAATCTAAATTCTTTGAACTTTTCAAATGCTTTAGACTTATGTCTCATGCATAACCAAAACATGATCTATCATCAATAAAGGTTATGAAATAATTATGTCTTCCTCTTACATGGGTGAGCATGAGTCTAAATACATCTTTATAGGTAAGACCTAACTAATCGGTAGCTCTTTCTCCTTTTCCACTAAAAGGGATTCTTGTCATTTTACTAAGTAAATAAGATTCATAAATATCATCAAATGATTCTATATATCCATTTATAAGTAGTTTGGATATATGATTGTTGTTTATATGGCTGAGTTAGCAATACTACAAATATATATATATTTGAGTCTTTTACCAATTGTGTTACATATGGGAGTTTTACTAAGTTAAAAACATGTAAACTATTATCAATCAAAATATTTTCATATAACAATTCATCTTTTAAAATAACAATCATTGTTCTTAAATAAAATAAAAAAATATCTTGTTTTAAACAAAAAATAAAAATAATAGTCATAGTCTACACTACGAATGTAATAACCGTTATCGAGTCTTAAGCACAAGCCTACATTATAGTGCTAACTCATAGATACTTATAACTAATGATCCAACTCTTGATCCATTGCCAACATGTAGGTTATCCTCCCTTAAAGCAATCTTTCTACTCTCTCTAAGCTCCTGCATATTTCTCTAAATGTGAGCGCCACATCCAATATTATATACTCATGAGGTGGAATTAGAAATAAAAAAAATTAGTTTTAATACCATAAATACCCGAGGTGTTGGTAGAACTCTTTTTTGCACCTCTATTAGGTACTCCTTATAATTGCGCTTCTAATGCCTTTTCTTGTTGTAATGAAAGCGGACTTCTTTCTTTTTGATATATTGGGCCTCAACCTTTTTCGCCCTTCTAGTAGGCATAATAGAAGACTTCTTCTTCTTTTGGTGCTTGATCTTTTTCTCGCCCTTCACTATGCCTTTTTCCTTATTAACAAAAAGTACATAACTTTTGTTATTTTTGTTAATCTCGGGTTGAGCTTCCTTAACATAGACAACAACTCTTCAAGAGTCTTTTTCATGTGTATCATGTTAAAGTTCATGATGAATTATGTAACATTCCCAACCTAGGACCTAATAGGTTGAGAATATTACTATTGTTTATCCACATTCAAAGTGCAATGAATATAAGCTAACAAGGCCCTATGATCTTTCTATAATTTATTTAAGTAAATTACGCTACGAATGTCCTTTAATAATGATTAAGTCCTATATTTTAGCTACAAGTCTTTGTATGTTTTTCGTGTCTAATTGATTTACTCATATTCTTTAAACTACCTTACTTGGATTCGTGACTATTTATTAATTTAATTTCTTTTTCAATTAATTATCATGATTTATTTAGATATAATTTCTTTTTATCAATATTCTTATATTGCTTATTTTCTTTTCTATTTACTACTCTTTTTACTTAATGAGTGCTTAAGAATTTAGATGAACTATCTAATGGTGCTAGCATGTAATGGATCGTTTAAACTAACTACGCTACTACCATTACACTATCATTTTAATATTAATGGTTCGATTACATACATTTTCAATCTACATACAACATTAGTTTTATGCCAACTACTACAAAATTGGCTTATTTATTACAATGCCATGGCTTGCTTCTATCTTTTCATTTATTAGTTCATAGCTTTAACTCGCTACATAAAAGAACATAGTCATTGCTATAAGGTAAACTAAAATACCTAATATAACTAGAGCCATCATATGTATCAAGTCCATGCACCAATCATATCCTACATAGACGCGACGAGTCGATCCTTTGGTAATCAATTCAAACCCCATGAAAACCATCTTTACTTGTGTGAGCTACATCACAAGCATATTAATGAACAACAACTCGGTAAGTTAGCCAATGCATGTAATGTGTATATGCATGCATGAAATGCGGATATAGGTGTAATAAATCTTTTTTCTCATGTCATAAAATATTTTATAAAACAGTTTAAGAATACTTTTTTTGTCTTTAGACATGTCCCATATAAGTACTTCAAGATTTTCATAATATATGTCCGACGAACCGGACCCATCTATGAACGTGCCCTACCAAGCCTCTAAAAGTGCACATCTACACTAGGTGTAATAAATCATTTTTCTAATGTCATAAAGCATTTTATAAAATATTCGAGAATAATTTTTCTATCTTTCGACATGTTCCATTTAGGTACTTCGAGATTTTCATAATATATGTCCGACGAACCGGACCCATCTATGAACTTGCCTTATTGAGCCTCTAAAAGTGCACATCCGCACTTACCCAACCCTAAACTATTACCATTTCTATATGAAAAACTCATGAAGCCATTTCCTTAAAGAAATCCTCAAAGTCATGAAAAACTTTTTCCTTTAAAATAATTTTGATTGCTATCCGAAAATCATGACATAAAATACATTTTCATGACTTGAAACACCTTTCATAACTTTGGCATGCTTATGCATTTTAAATGAAGATGCATAACTAATATTGATTCATAAATGCATGCCCTAAATGGTCATGTAATGTCATGAAAATATGTATAAAATTGGACAACATAACGACATTAATAACATTACTTCATATTAATCATTCCAACCGTCACATCTCATAACAACATCATTCAAACCACATAACAACATCATTCAAATCACATAACCATATAATTGCTCATATCATATCACACACATCAAATACATTCAATTTAAATCAAGGAAACATAAATATTCATAAAATAGTACCAAACAACCAAAGTTCCATATTTTCTTTTTTTAAACC